ACACAGTAAGTGGGAAAATAAAAGCAGATCTTATATTCTTATATCCTCAGTGTTCTATCACATTAGTCTTCCTCCGCTTTCTCACAGTGTAAATAGCATTCACGCTGAATCAGAAGTGCTGCAGGGAAACTAATGGAGGTGTTGAAACAGGAATGTTTGTCAGTTATTCAAGATACATTCAATATCAATGCAAAGAAAATACAGAACTTGTGTCAAAGCCTGTATAGTTAGAATGACCTGTAGGTGGAGGTAATAGATCACATTGTGAATTAACTTTGCTCAGAGTCCCTGTTAACCAGAGAGTTTAGGAAATACAATTTTGAATTACATTTTTAAAGATGAACAATATAAAAAACAACAACAGAAAGAGAGAGAGAGAGAGAGAGAGAGAGAGAGAGAGAGAGAGAGAGAGATGGACTTGATTGCCAGAAAAGAAGTGGTGATCCTTTGGAACAAAGTAGCCAGGTGAACTTTGAATTTATGATATTTATGACTTAGGAAGATAAATAATATTTTAGACTTTAAAGAAGAAGGTTTCAAAAAAGATTATGAGAAACATAAGACTAGAGACAGATTATTTGGAAAGGAAATTGTACATACTTTATATAATGGTATTCATACATTTTTTTTTCTTTACTCAGAGTAACTTGGAGAGAATGTGCTGAGAGCACAATAAAAGCCTAAAGATATGCATAAGTAGTACTGATTTTCAGAAAATAGGAGATTAATTTCAGCACTGATAATTGGGTTTGTTCTGTGAATCTCTGGATAAGGAAATTCAAGTAGACCCAACATAAATTTTTCTAAAAATATTACATGAACTGTTTTTGGGTTTTTTATTATTTTATTTATTTGCTAGTAGATAGAGTAGGGAAATTGAGCTAGTATATCTGATTTAAGTAAGGCCTTAAGGCAAGTTCACTACTCTGTGGACAAGGTGTAGAAACGTGCACAAGCTACTGGGCTCCCATGCTGACAGAAAGGTTTGCGCCTCAGTTACTTAACAGAGTAACTATTGGCAATATCATTGTCAATCTAGACATGATTCTAGAGTTCCTGGTCTGTATCTTAGATACTACCATGTTCAGAAATTTTGTCAGTGGGTGAAGATATAGAAGGTATACTTATAAAAATTACAAATAACACAAAATTAGGAGGAACAGGGTGTATGACGGGTGACAATAGTAATTCAAAGGATTTTCACCCGGAGCTGCGGCTTCGGTGCTGACCTGGCCAAGCCCAGGAACCATACCATGCACAACCAGTCCCGAAAATGGCACACAAATGGCATCAAGAAACCCGGATCACAAAGAAACAAATTTCTTAAGGGGGTGGACCCCAGATTCCTTTGGAACATGCGTTTTGCCAAGAAGCACAACTAGAAGGGCCTAAGGAAGATGCAAGCCAACAATGCCTAGGCCACGAGTGCACGGGCTGAGGCCATCAAGGCCCCCGGAAAACCTAAGGAGGTCAAGCCCAAGATCCCCAAGGGCGGCAGCCGCAAGCTCAGTCAACTTGCCTACATCGCCCACCCCAAGTTTGGGAAACATGCCCGAGCCCGCATTGCCAAGGGTCTCAGGCTCTGCTAGCAGAAGGCCAAGGCCAAGGCTCAAACCAAGGCCCAGCCCTGGCCGTGGCTACAGGGGCAGCCCTGCCTCCAGCCCAGGCTCCGGCTCCCAAAGGTGCCCAGGCCCCCACAAAGGTTCCAGAGTACAGGCCTCTGTCAGCCGTTGTGAGGGCGGAGGGACTGATGTGACCCCTGGGCTGCTGTCTGCATGGGGCTGGGGTCCTCCTGTGCTATTTGTGCAAATAAACCTGAGGCAGGATCTGTCAAAAAAAACAAAACAAAAAAACTTTCACATGTTGAAAAGAGATACCGAACAAGGTGTGAATTAATAGGGATAAATATGAAGGCGAGATGGAGAGAAAGTGTCAAAATTTAAGACATTGGGGAAAAACAATGGAAATTTGAATAAAGTGTGGAGTTTGGTTAATAATAATGTATTAATATTGATTCATTGTGAAAATTATGTATCAATATTATATGTCAATATTGGTACAGTTATGATAAATGTACTATAGTAATGTAAGATGTGAACAATAAACTGGATATGGGTATATGGGAACTCTGTACTATCTTGGCAACTTTCCTGTAAATCTCAAGCTATTTTAAGATAAAAATTTAGTTTTTAAAAAAAAGTGGCCTAAGGTTTTAAGTCTGAATAAGTTATAATGCCCATAACAAAAATGGGGAGTTTGGATATGTGGTTGTGCAGGATTTTGCTCCACAATCTGGAACTCTTTGGGAGGAATGTTAGAACAGAGTGACAGAGAGCATTTCAAAAGAACATGGTGAGGCTGGAGGCAACGAAAGCAGTTTTCACAAGGAAACTCAAGAGTTTTTTTCCAGTAATCTTAAATTCTCTGGTGGGTGCAGAGATGTATCTGAAATGCAGCCTGATTTTACAATTTGTGAGTAGTGGTACCTCCTCATCTAGTTAAATTCTCAGATCACTTTTAGTAGGTTGATTCAGTCATCTCTCTTGCTTGTACACTCTATTGATTATGTAGAAACTGAAAATTTAAGAGATCAAAAAAATCATAATGGAAAAGTGGCCATTTTATTGGTTGTGCATAAGCTGTGTGAATTATGTGACCTTTTGTGTTCAGGAATAGTCTTACTGTTCCAAATTAAGAAAATTGTCCACTTCATATTTGTATTTGAAAGTTATGCTTATCCACAGAAACAATCAATTTAGCACCCAAAATTACAATTTTCATTTCAGTTATGATGATGCAAGTAAAACTTAACATCTACTCTTGAAATACTTAGGGAAATGAATATTTTGTATGGGATAGAAATACTCTGAAATATTTTAAAGACTTTTATACAGACAGAAACTGATTGTGAAAAGTAATATTTCCCCAAATTTTAAAGGACAATTGCTGAACAAATATTGTACCAATTTATAATCAAATGACTATTTATGTAAGTTTTGCATTCCCAATGGAAAAAAGTAAATAACCCATGGGGTACTCTAGTCTAGTAATTCAGTGTTTCTAAGGAAGGATTGAGGGACATGGGGAATTTTTTTGGGGGTGGAATTTTTTTGAAAAAGTGTATTCTAACATTACCTTGGACTTTATTCGGGTTTAGTCATGATATTTATTTTTATTTTCAAGTGACATTAAAGAAGGCCATGACATTTTTATTTTTATTAAGGAGGAACAGGGATTTGTTGATATCATTTTCAATTTAATACTTATGTGATTCTACTTTTTCTGAGAGCCTCTTTGTGATTTTGATGTTGATGATGGTGATGACAGCAGCGGCGTTTCTTGAAAGTAACTATTGGGTTGTCAGAAAAGTCATGACGCATTTTTGCAACAAAAAACTTAGAGAATACGTCATGACTTTTCTGACAACCCAATATATGCCAGACACTATTCTAGGCAACTACACGTTTCAGATATTTGACCTCACAGCATACATATGAGACAGATGGCATTAGTATCCCCAGTTATAGATGAGGAAACTGGCCTCACATCAATGTCAAGTATTTAGTATTTTTAGAGCCCTTGCATTTAACGAACTTTTGTCAAATAATAATGAATGCTTCAGATATTTTTTAAATATTATATTTGATGATTTTTGATTAAAAGTTCCCATGATATCCTCTGTTTTTTATCCTTTGCAGGTATGCAGTTTTGTGTGGCTGTGTATCTGAGTTTGAGGGCTTGCAAAACAAAATTAACTATGGCTATCGCTTCAAGGTATTTCTTGATATTAAAAATGTTTTAATGTAGCTATATGTTCTATTAATAGGTACATATCAAATTATTCAACAAATTAGTTTCTAGGAATTTGTCTTTTCATTTAAATGAAATGACAGTCTTTAAAGAATACTATGCCCAAAGGAATCAAACTATTTGGGTGATTAAAGATTATTATTATTCTAGATTCTGAAAGAAGTCACATAGATGAGTGTTACTTTGTGAAATGTAGAGGATTAGCCTCTGTCATGAGCTTGCCAACATTTTCATGGCTGGGACTAATCAGTTAATATTTTCTGCATATTGATTTGGTAGAATCCAATCTAGGTCTTAAATTTACACGATAGATGAATAAAATAAGTAATGCAAATACATATCATTTATAATGTACCTCTAGTCATAAAAGCTCGATAAGTAACCCTTCAGGGTCAATAATTATAGGGATGGGCAAAGATTTCTTTGTTTCCCAGCTCCCTATAACCATTTGACAATGTCTGGCGTAGAGTTCTCTATCACCTAGTGCTACAATTTCCTCCATTTTACCCTGATCATTTGATATTTGTAAGCTTGCCTCTGAATCAAGTATTAGCTGGGCACATCATGGGCAACCAATAATGTGACTGGGTGTTTTCTATTTTTATAGTGGAATTTTGGTTTTAAATTATCTGTAGCCTTATTAAATCATAGTCACAGTTCTGCTTCTAGTTCTGAGCAATCATTTTTGATCATAGAATCATTGATAAAACTTAATTGTTTTAATGATAGAGATTGAGGAGGTGGATGAAACCACATTGTAAAGTTTCTTTGAATTTACTAGGCACAGTTCCATTCAACACTACCTGAAACCTTGGGAGATGATATTTCTTTGGATTTTCTTTCAGGAACATCTAGATAAAGCAATCCAATTTTTACCTGAAGAACCCTTTTTGTATTACCTCAAAGGAAGATACTGTTATACTGTAAGTTGAATGCTTTTATCTATAAATCTTATTTAATACACTATGATTGTGTGATATATATTGAGTGACTTAGTCATTCTTTTATTGTTTTACCTAATGTCTCCTGTAGAGAAAATGATAAAATCAATATATATTTTATGAGTTTATAATTTCTATATGTTATATATAGGATATTATTTTATATATGTATGTGTAATTTTTTTCTTTACTACCTTTCCATTTTCCCTTGAAGCAGTCACACTGTTTCAGGGGATCATCAGCCACCTACACATATGCACCCTATATTTGATACACTACTCCCTGTTTTGTGGGAGGACTATTATTCATTCATCAGAGTTTATTAAGAATAAATTATATGCTCATTAGCCAGAAGATAGCTAAAACACTGTCCTTGTCTTCAAGAAACTTAACTTAGAATAGGGACATGGGCTCACCAACATTTTCTGACTGGGACTAATTAGTTAACATTTTCTGCATGTTGATTTGGTGGGAGGAGTAGAATCCAATCTAGGTCTTAAATTTACCATGCTAGATGAATAAAATAATGCAAATACATATCATTTATAATGTGCCTGTAGTTATAATAGCTCAATAAATAACCCCTCAGGGTCAATAATAAATAAAGGCAGCTCTTAAGTCTAAGACCAAGTGTCTTACATGACATTAGTTTACAGAGAATTAACAGAATGTAAAAATATGTCTTAAGAGATACATGAAAAGTTACCATGAAGAGAAATGATATTTCTGAATGAGAAAATTAGGGTAAGCAAAAGAGGAAGCTTTTTAATTGATGCTTGAAGAGGACTAGGGAGGAAGAGGGAAGCTTGCTTTTACTGAATACCTGTTATATATCAGATGTGCATTTTATGCTTTATCTTTCTTTATCTCATTTAATACTTATAACGGCTCTATAAACAGTTTTCATTATGCCAGTTTTAAATATTAAGAATCTGATTTTAAAATACTTTCATCAATAAAAATGAAATAAGTAAAAAAAAAAAGAATTAAGAATCTGAGTCTTCTTAAAGATAGGAGACTCACCTAAAAACCATTGACCCAACCTCACATGAGTCTGGAACTTGAATGGACATTATTTTCTTAGGCTTCAAAAACCCAAGAAGGAAATTTTAGTTCAAAATAGAACCTGATCTTTATGCATAGAAAAATGGCAGAGGTTAATGCTAATACTCCCTAGAGAAATATGTCTTCACACAGGCTGTATAAAACTCTTGCAGAGTGGCCCAACAATGATGAGTATCAAAAATAATAGAATAGGGCCAGCCAAGTGGCTCAGTTGGTTAAGAGCTTGCTCAAGAGTGCGAGCTCTGAGCAACAGGGTCGCCAGTTCGATTCCCGGCCTGAGCTGAGCTGCTGCTGAACTGCCAACAGGTGGCAGGATGGCTCAGCTAAAAAAAAATAAAAAAAAATAATGGAATATACAAAAAATAAGCCATCCAGAATGACAATTAATAGAGGGGAAAAAAAGAACAGAAATACATCTAAAAGGACTTCAGAGTTTGCAAACATGGAATACAGAATATTAAACAGCTGTCTATATAATGTGTTTTTGTGTTTTTTTAAGATGTTTTATTGGGGAATTGGGGAAGGGAACAGCATTGGGGAATCGGGGAATGGGAACAGACGAGTTGCTGTCCTTTTGTTCTTCAATCTAGTTGTGGAGGATGTTGCTTCACTGGCTCATGTTGATCATTGCGCTCTTCCCGGCTGAGGCAGATCAGTCACCAGCCATTGAATGGCTGCTCACAGTGGCTCATGGCAGCTCATGCCAGCTGCCAGCTGCTCACGCTGGCTGCCGGCCACTCACGGTAACTTACGGCAGCCCACTGCAGCAGGGGCTGCAGCCTATGCTGTCACCGGCAACTCATGGCAGCCCAGCTCCAGGTCGAGCTGTTGTTCACCATCTTAGCTGTAGAGGGAACAGCATCACTGGCCCATATGGGATCCGAACTGGCGGCCCTGCTGCTCAGAGCTCACACTCCCAAGCTAACTCTTAATCAACAAGCCACTCAGCTGGTCCTATAATGTGTTTTTTAAAAATAAAAAGAATTAAGGAAAAAATGGTTGAGGAACATAGAACTACAAAAATGAGCAAGTAGATTTGGAAAAGATGAAACAATTTTGATATAAAAGATACATTATTTGACATTAAAAGAAAACTCAATGATGAGATTTAGCAGTAGATAGGCACCACTAAAGAGAAAATCAGTGAAATTTTAAGATAAATATGGAAAAGTTACCTGGAATGCAGCAGAGAACAAAGAATAGAAAATATGAAAGAGAGATAAAAACACATGGATGGTAAGTTAAGGACATCAAATGGTGATAAATTTTCACCCACTTCTTTTAGTAATTAATAGAATAAGAAAGCAAAAAAAAGTATCACTACTTTTGTAAACATTGGAGCCCCACATTTAATAAATTTGGTCTAATAGATATATATGAAAATACATACCTAACCATCAGAAGACACATGTTTTTCAAGCCTATATAGAATGTTTACAAAATTGACCCTGTATGAGGTCTTAATAAATTTCAAAGAATTGGTATCATACAGGTTTTCTGATCATAATGCAATTAAATTAGCGCTTGAAAAACAAAACAACTTTTAAAACATAAGTATTAAAGTTAGAAATAACATGAAGTGATAATTAAACCCTAAGAAGATGCCCTTTTATTCCTGCTCATTTGATAAAATTTAAAAACACCAATATTAAGATGTTGCAAGAATATGGAGCGACGGGAATTCTTACATTGTTGTGGGAACATAAATCGGCACAACCACTTTAGAAACAATTGGGTATTTTAAATTTGATTACTTGCCTACCATGTAACCCGCACTGGTGCCTACCCTAGAGACACTCTTGCAGATGTGCTCTAGAGGGCATGTACAAGAAAGCCTTGTTCCTAAGAGCCAACAAATGGAAAAGACCCAAACGTCCATTGACGAAAGAGTGGATGAAAAATCATTGATGTGTATTTAAATGATGCAATATTTCATAGTTATTTAAATGACTGAACTTAAGTTACACTCATCAACCTGGATGAAACCTTAAAACTGTAATGTTAAGTGAAAAAAATAAGTCATAGAAGTAATAAATAACATGTTAACGTTTTTCTAATAAGCTTCCTAGAAACCTAGAAGATAGGATGAGGAAGGAAGGCACTTGGGGTTAGGGACAGCATCAACACCCTTTTAAGTATTCATTTCTGAATTCTTTTAATCTTTTATGATAACTGTAATATTCATATTTGGGGAAAATGAAAAATTTTTAAAAAGCAAAAAATAGGGCCAGCTGAGTGGCTCAGTTGGTTAAGAGCTCGCTCAAGAGTTTGAGCTCTGGGCTGGCCGAGTGGCGCGTTGGTTAAGAGCTGGCTTGGGACGCCAGAAAGCCCCGGTTCGGATCCCACATATGAGGGCCAGTGACACTGCCCTCCACAGCTAAGATGCTGAACAACAGCTCAACCTGGAGTTAGGCTGCCGTGAGTCGCTGGCGACAGCCTAGGCTGCAGCCCCTGTGGCAGTGGGTTGCCATGGGCTACCGTGTGTAGCCAGCAGCCAGCGTGAGTGGTCAGCAGCCACAGTGAGTGGCCATCCAGAAGCCGGCAACTAATCTGCCTCGCCCGGGAAGAGTGCAATGATGGTGCCAACTTGGGCCAGTGAAGCAACATCCTTCACAACTAGACTGAAGAACAAAATGACAGCAACTTGTCTGTTCCCCTTCCCCCAATTCCCCAACGCTGTTCCAATTCCCCAATAGAAATTTTAAAAANTGAGAATCTTTTTACTCATGGAGCAACATTCCAGGACATGCAAGGATTTTCACCATATAAAATACTCTCAGAGTCATGAATGAAGGAAAGTCTTCAATGGTCACACATACTTTAGTGAGCCTTAAAACTCTCACAGTTGGAAGTTCCTCAGTCCTCAAATCAAATGTAGAAATCCCTTCATCATGAGTTTATATGAGACACCTCAGACTGAAAAAAGCACTATCAAGAACCCTTCAGTACACAATTCAACATATAGTTTAGACTTTTGCCAAATGACATATTACTGTAAATAGTGTAGTGTAAATACGTAGAACTGTGATGCACCCTGGGAAATGTTGAATGCAGAATTTGGTAAGAAGTAATAAGCAATGAGATAACCTCTCTTCAGTACATTAATAAAAGTTGATTAAAAATCTAATACATGGGTATCTGTCTTTAATACCATGAAAAAATCATGAAATGTTATGCTGAGTAATTGGGGCATTTTTCCTTTATTACATCACTATTGATCAGTTGATTAGTTTCTATTTTTCATGCCACTCTAACCATTTACAACTTTGTTCAATCAGAAAACAACATTTAATGTAACTGAAAAAATGTAGAACACAAATAATGTGTTCTAATTATTATATTTGTTTTGAAATATGTTTCTGCATGGCAAGGGTGAATGAAAACATAGACAAATGAGACATACTTTTTTATTCAAATATACCAGGTGATGGTGATGTGGGGTTGGGGAAGGGATAGCCTTTGTTTGTTTTCTAGTGTTCCAGCATCTAACCGCTAATTTAGCAGGCCTTTCTTTAGGGCTTCTAGGTGCTAGGCACTGAGCTAGCCTTAGGGTTACAAAGATAAACATGAATTATGGCTTTTTTATAAGTTTTTTTTAATACATTAATAGTCTAGATTCATTCATCGTATTTTCTCACACAACCTTCAAAAAAATACTGATTTGATGGAAGTTAGACTACTACTTGACCAGATACTACTTTTGAATTAGTGTATTAATGTTTATGAAGAACTTCCAGGTTTTTTTTAATAAAATCCAGCAAGCAGCTGCTTCTAAATATCTGCTTTGTCCACTTTTCCTCATCTGTTTAAATTTGTTACATTACTTAAATTCTGTCTGATAGGTAGAAGTTTGTTAAATGCAGAAATGCATAGGAGAACCTAACCATCTGAATTTATTGCCACTGTTTCTAACATCCACACCTGTTTTAAAGAAATAACAATATATGCAAAGTCCTATAAAACACATTACGTGATTTTTCATCTTAACTATGAACTCCCTGAAAAAGTCAATAATGAAACATATTTGCCTCTTTACATCTTACAGTAGAGTCTGAGATTTCTCCAATCCTTCTGCTAGGGCCAGGATTTCTTCCACATCTTATAGTTAAAGAAGAAAACAGTGTTATTAACACACTGGTCGGGTCCAATGTGTCTGCTTACATGGAAGGCACTGCCCTTCCAGTATTCTACTAACTCCAGACCTGGTGGAGGAAAAGCCTGGAAATAGCTTTCCATTAACTCACATTCTCAGAGATCTAAGTCCCTTAGATCTAAGATGCTTGCTCCCAAGAAACCCACAGTTTCTTTGTAATCATCTTTCAAAAAGTATCTCCTCACTCAACAAAAGTCTATTTCAAAATACCTCGAGTATCAGGATGAATGTGTGAATTTTCACTGTATATTTGTGTTTTCTTTACAGGATAAAGATGCACAGAAAGAGGTGAAAAAAATAAGCACTTTCTTGAAGACGTAAATAAAAGAACTTCAACAAATCAGATGTGGTCCACTAANGAGTGGCTCAGTTGGTTAAGAGCTCACTCAAGAGTTTGAGCTCTGAGCAACAGCGGTTCAATTCCCGGCCCGAGCTGAGCTGCCGCTGAGCTGCCAAAAAGGTGGCAGGACGGCTCAGCTAAAAAAAAAAAAAAATGTACAAGGGCCATATGTTTTTTATTTTTTATCTACTGTGATCTTTTTTGTTTTATAAAGAGGAAATTAAGACCTCAGGAACTTAAGTTTTTCCAGTATCACACAATGGCTAATCAAAGACATGAGTGAGGTCTAAGGCTGCATCGTTGCTATTTGTTCATCTTTTTTCTACCACTGAGAATTAGTTCCCCTATTTTAAATTTTGTAAGAATGTAGATCATGGCATATTTAAGGTAAATGATTTATAAAACGCGCTGAGTGAGTTAGCAAAAATGTCATTTGAACTTGAAACTCATTTCTTCATAGTATTAAAGTTATAACTGGGGGTGTGTGGCCAGGTTCAGGACACTGCACAAAAGTTCTTAAGGTACTCATGTACATGAAATATTTCACAGATAAAATCAAAAGTGGTAAGAGGCACAATAATGCAGAGGTAAAGATTGCAAACTCTTTAACCAGACCACCTGGTTAAATCCTGGTTCTATCACTTACCAGCTGGTTAACACCAGGCAAATTACTTAACCCCTCTCTCTCAATTTAATCAATAACTTGGAGATAATAGTACCCGCCTCGTAGTGTTGTTGTGAAGATTACATAAGTTAATACAACTGAATTGCTTAGAGAGTGCCTAGTAAGTGCTAATAAAAGCTCACAGAATTTCAACTCCATTAAAATGTACACTCCTTGGCAAACTATCTTGGGGACCTCACCATTCAGTCATGACTTAGATTCTTACTGAAAATACTTTCCATGATGTTTGTCAAGAGAGAAGTCATCAGGGATGCTTCTCCCCATATCTACTCTAACAGCTTAGGGTACTGAGGAGCCTAGCGTGCTGAGGCCTAAGGCTGTGGGGGAACTAAGGACTCTGGGAGGTGGAGGGGAGGGAAAGGAAACAGCACAGACGTTGGATCCCACGCCCTAGGAGAGTCTGCACCCCCTGGCCCTGCCAGGAGGTCATGTTGTTGAAACCGAGATATAGGACTCCTCCCCCAACCCCCCCCACACACACACACACACCACACACACTTCATCCCTTCAAAGAGCATTCACAGGGCCCAGGAATGTATCCCCAGAGCCTTTAAGTTCGGTCCTGTAGAGATCAAGAGCACTGGCTTTATAATCAGACAGTTTGAGACTTGAGCCTTTTCCTGTCTGTCTGACCTGGGCATGTTTCTTTATTTCTCTTCATCTTAAATTCTTCCTCTATAAAGTAGGAATAAAAATACATACTTTATATGGGTTTTGTGAAGATTGCATAAAATAAGACATGTTATTTTCTTGGCCCAAGGTCTAGCACATTAAGTGTCCTAACTAAAAATAAATGTTAGTTGCCATTATTTTGCTCTTATAACAAGAGAAATCTTGTCCTCCACAACTCAGAACATCTAGGGAGGTGGTTTTAGATGCCTGTTGTTTATTTCTAACTATAGAATGCCTCCCACCTCGTCCAAAATCCTGGCACAATTCCCTCAGGAAGTGGTTCTCGATCTTGGTTATATGTTAGAATCATCTGGAGAGCTTTAAAAAATGCCAGCCCAGGCTACCACTCAGACTAATTGTTTCAGAATCTCTGAATATATTAATGTATAGTTTACATACAATAAAATGCACCCATTTTCAGTGTGCAGTTCAGTGAAATTTGCAAATCTTACATACTCAGGGAGCCACCACCATTTCAAAATATAGACATTTCCATCACATGGCGAGTTATCTTTGCCCACTGGCTGCCAAAGGGACCTTTGACAGCATCCACTGACCTGCTTTCTACCACGGTAGATTAGTTTTGCTTATTCTAAAATTTATATAGATGGAATCATAATTCTTGTACTCTTGTGTGTTTCTGGCTTCTTTTGCTCAGCATAATGTTTTGAGATTCATGCATTTTATTGAGTGTATCAGTAGTTTCTTTCTGTTGCTGGATAATATTCCATTATATAGACATGCCACCATTTTCTTCTACATTTACCTATTGCTGGATGTTTAAGTCATTTCCAGTGTGGGGCTATTGGGAATAAAGCTTCGTGGATAGGCCTGTGTAGTAGATGACAGGCATGGCAGTGCTGGGTGGGGGCCAGACTCATCTGATCTCACCCACTGTTTGACATCATGTGATCCCTGGATCTCCCAGATATGATGGAGGGCTGCTGCTTGAGGTTATGAGATGTTTTAAAACAAAGCTGATTTATTCAGCAATGTTTGCTAAGCACATACCTAGTATCAAACAGTCTCAAATGTAGGAAACATGGAAATGACCAACACAGGCCCTACTCCCAGGAAACTCATACAGCCAAGACCAAGTAAACAAGTACACTATTTTTTTTTGCCAGGTGTTATGATAAAGAGTGTTCTTAGAGCCTAGGTAGAAACTGCCCCTTAATTAGAACATTCTGAGTAACACTACCTTCTTTGTTATTCAGCTAAGTCCTGTGTTCCTTTGGGCTTCTCTTTCTTTTTTTAACTGTAAGAGAAAAAAGAGATGTTCTGATTTATAATCCTTCTAGGTAATTAAACATAGTGTTAAGGTATATATACAGATTTAAAATGCCAACATTAAAGAAATAAGAAACTGCTTATTTACATATTTTGGAGCAAGTTATCCAAATAGAATTTGGACAGAACTTGCAGAAACTACTGGACATAGAAGAACTTACAATTGAACAANAAAAAAAAAAAAAATTGTCCCTTTTCTAAAAAAAAAAAAATGATAATGTGAAATTTAATTTTGGTGGTTATTGGTTTAAAAAAATTTCTCCTGGATTGTAAATATGTATATTGGGCCCTCACTCGATACTCCCTCTGAGTTGAGGATACTCGTTCTATTTACATTTATGAGATGCTGGTCTCTGGGTCTGCTTGGCAGCATGGAGTAGGCAGGAAGAGAGCAAAGGCAGGATCTTATAGCTACTACACTCTGGTGCAAAGAAATATTTTCAGTCATCTCAGAATCATGAATCTGATGAACAAGGAATATCAGCATTATTTCTCACCCCCACCTCTTTTTTGCTGATTGAACACAAATCTTATGACTATTTCAAATTGGTTTTGTAACCAGTGCTTTCAGAGATCATAGCTTGTTAGAATTATGGAAAAGGGAAGTAAAATATTAATACCATAAAGGAGATATCTCTCATATATTAGTAATGGGTATGTATTTATATTTTTATATATTATATGTATACACACATATATGTACACACACATCTAATTGGGGAGAGATTATTCATTCAAAAGGTGAACAACTTTCTAAGAGTGATAGTGCTCTATGTTTGCAGGTCTCGAAACTGAGCTGGATTGAGAAAAAAATGGCTGCTACTCTGTTTAGAAAAATACCATCTTCAACGGTACAAGAAGCTTTGCAGAATTTCCTTAAGGTATACTTTGTTTGTCCATTACTTTAATGTCACACTGGCTACTATCTGCACCCGCCCTTCCTGCCCTTGTCAAGGAAATCTTTCTCGTCTCCATGTATAGATCTCTAAAAGTTTGAATTCCAGTTTTGGCACGTTCAGTTTTAAGCCTGTCATGTTTTAAATTCAAACGACTTCTTAGGGCAGTGAGTTATGCCCTACCAGGGACAGCAGCCCTTACTACCAAGTCGAAGAACAACTCTCCAAGTCGTGCCCTGATTGTTATACTTGATCCCAAATACACCTGATTAGCGTAATATAGAAACAGTTTAACCTTAAAGAACTAAAAGATGCCAAAAGGAAGAGTTATTTTAAAAGCCATTCCATCAGTTGCAGACAGTTCTATGAAGCATTCTTGGGGCATCACACCAAACCACTATTTTCATTCATGTCTTAAAATGTATAACTGCTATGCTAATAAAACTCCAAACAGTAATATTGTGTGTGTACACATGTAAATGTGTAATATTCCCCTCCATATAACCAACTTCCTTTTGGGCTAATTCCTTCACTTTTCTCTGGAACCAATGATAGAATCTTATAGATACTAACATATTTTTTCCCCATCTACAATTTCAGATTTGTAACAATACAGATAAAATCAGGCTCTGAACTGTATCGTCCAGCATATTGTCCAAGCTGATTTTTTTTTGTTGTATTTTATGGATCCATTTTGTAGAACTGAGAGGGAATTCAGAGATCATATAGTCTAGGATGGCAAACATTTTCATCGCACTTTCCATCTCTGAACA